ATAACTATTGGGACTTTTGTCTTAATTTTAAGCATAAATCTTTCCATGTGAGAGGACTATAGCCAAACATAGTTTGTTAAGTGGTTTTCATCTTGTTTTGATAAATAAAAATAACACCAGCTATGCTATGTTAGCAAAACTTTAAAGTGAAAATATTTGCAAATTGCTGACTTTGAAGTTAAGGACCCACTTGAGTGAGACAAGTGACGGAACTTTGAACCTCTTCGATTTTTAATAAGCTAGGTTATTGCTGTAATGTTTACACACCACTAATGAATCCAGAGAAATTTGGGTAGTGTTTGATATGGGACCTTTGTGCTGTACATGTGATTCAGCTCTCTACTCTTTCTAATTTCAGAACAAAGTATAGATTTTACTTGGCAGTATACTGTATCGGTATTCTGAAAGCATAGTTACTGTGGGTCTAGTAGTGGTAGAACAGTGATATTTTGAATGGAAACAGTATTTTAAAAGTCTATTGATAAGCCACTGTGGCAACTGGAATGGCCCCAAAATTCTTAACTCTGAAATTTCTCCACCGGGGAAAATGTTGCTTTGTTAGATAGTGAAGAGCAACTACAGCAGTGTTTTGGCTCTAGAAGCGTTCTGAAAGGGACCATAGTGTTGGATTGTAGTTACAATTTGAGATTCTTGGCGGTTTAGCTGTGTCGCAGATTGACTTGTCACAGGATATGCTGTTGGTTAATCTCTGAAAACTTGGGAATGAGGAAAAGATGAGGAATATCCATTGTATGTTCAGTGAGCTTTTTCCCACAGTGACAAATTTGATGTGTTGGGAGGAGCTGTAAGTGGAAAATGTTATTTTTGCTGCAACTAAGAAATAATAAAAGAATCACTCTAGAAGATCTGTGAATCTCAACCAACGAAGGAAATAAGAACTTTCAAAAGTATCTTAAGATCCTAGTGGATAAGGTTATTGTTAGAGTTAGTGACTACAAAGAAGCAGGAACATGTTCATACAGAGTGGGTAAAATGAGTTCTTATATCAGTTTCATCTGTGTTCAAAAACTTTCTAAGCAAGGAATCCAGGAGGACATTTGACTAAACTGAGCTAATTGCTCATGTGCTTCAGCTGAGGCACCAGCGTTAGCTGTTTGTCTGCACAAAGCCCCAGCTATTTGTCCCGTGAATTATGCAGGAAGACTGCTACAAATGGAAGGTAACTGTTTTAAGTTTTTGACTGGATTATTTTTAGCGGCTGTCATAGGCTTTGTTCTTCCTTCTGTCCCATGTGTACTGCTGTGGGGGCCACAGTCACATGTAAAGAAGCAATCTTGTTTCTGGGGTTTGTTTCTTCCTGTGCGAAAGGCATAGTCAGCCCACGAGCTGAATACTGAAGTCCATATGGGTGGATTTGGTTGTCCTTATGCTGAACATTACATGTTTCCTCGTCAGTTTGTGCAGCCTGAATCAGTCCTGTTTTAGAGATAACGGTTGCCGAGGAAGAAGGTATCTGTTAAATTCACTGAAGTGATAATTTTAAATGCAATAGCTTCTGCTCAGGATGCTACTCAGGGGTTCCTTCTTTACTTCTGAGTTTCCTTTAATAGCTGCTGTTCTCTGAAGCCTTTAATCTTGATGTGATAGGAGTATGAGCTTTTGGAGGCTTGCATTAATCGGATTATAAAACTCTTGGTATTACTTGAAGAAGGTTTACGGATCGGTGCTGTTTCAACAATATGCTAAGATTTGATTTAACGAAAGTTTTCAAATGACTGTCACTCATTATTTTTGTCTCCTGACATGTGCTTTGGTGCTTTACTAGTAGGTTACTGCATTGTTAATAAGGTTTTTACTCATTTAGAGAAACAAAAAAAATTAGAGAAACTTCTGTAAAAGACTGTCACAAGCTATTGTAACAGTAACTTGGCGATGGACTGGGTAGACTTCTGTAATGAAACGTGGAAGTGTCTGCAAATGTGTTCTTCCCCAAACAAGTCTGAAATGTGAAGGCTTTTAAATAACAAAGGTTGTTATTTCCTTTAATATTTTGATCTAAAGTGACTTGAAAAAAAAAAAACAACAGTCAGCAGTTGATTTGGATTCTGAATGTGAAGTTAGATGGCTTTATTGATAATGCAAATGCTATTGTGCTGTGTGTAAGCTGGGGGAGACAGAAATCTTTTTGTAACACCAAATTTTTGCTCATTTCCGAAGCAGCTGAGCTTCTCATACTTAAACATGTTCCAGGTATTTCAAGAGTAATACAGCACTACATTTTGAACTTATCTAAGTTCAATGCATATTTTACAACTGATAAAATAATTGTGCAGACTTAAAAGTCTAGCAGTTGTGCTGCTGATCCTCACCTAATAGTGTAGACTGAGCATTATTTTCTTGAGAAAAGATCAATGGGCTGAGGCCAATGGTGTGAGGCTCAACAAGGCCAAGTGCCGGGTCCTGCACTTGGGTCACACCAACCCCATGCAGCGCTACAGGCTTGGGGCAGAGCGGCTGGAAAAGGACCTGGTGGTGTTGGTCAGCATCTGCCTGAATATGAGCCAGCAGTGTGCCCAGGTGGCCAAGAAGGCCAACAGCATCCTGGCCCATATCAGGAATAATGTGGCCAGCAGAAATCCATTAAACCGATACCTTCACAGAGTGGAAAGGTGCATGAACAGTGTACCCTAAAACTTTTTAAGATTCTACTGCTGCTGAGAAGTTGAGGGTGATGGAGGCAGCAAGAAAAATATTCAGAGAGAAACAATAGTTTGGGCATCCAACATCGAACTCCAAAGGGAAGCAGCTGTAACTCTAGCTACTACATCTAGAAAACATCAGTTTGCAGCACAGCCTCAGAGGCTATGTAATTTATTTGGAAAACTGTGTTTTGAGAGCTTTCTGATTTATTTTTTTAAAATGTTTTAGGCGTGTGTTGCGTGCTTGCTTGCTCTCTCATGCTGATATTTTCTATTTGTTTCGAAGAATGACAAAATCTTGAGACTTGGTTATTTTTCTGTGTCCGTGTTTGTTCTAGTATTCCAAATATTTTTTCAGGAGATAGTGGGAGTCTGATACAGTTTGTGCCATGGTTTTTATTAGTTAATTGCAGAAGAAGTAAACCTGTCTGAGAGCTGTATGGAGCATGGTCATGAGCAACAAAAATAGTTTTTCTTGACTGAGTTTATTATTAAACTTTCAGTAATACCTCCCAGTAATTGGTCTGTGGTGTGCATGTTATACCAAGTTCTCTTAGAGACCATATCTGTTCACTGTGAATACCAACTTTTTTGACGTAGGATTTTGGGTTACATGGTGGGGGGAAGGTTTCCAGAAATACTAAAGAAAAATTTCTCTCATAGTACACTTTTTAAACTCTTTTTAGTATCTTCTAGTCCTGACGTTTTCTTTCCTTTTTCAGACTGAAGATTTGAGTCCTCTTCTTCAGTAGCTATAAAAGTGAATGGCAAGGTCTAGTTGATAGCCAATAGTAGCATTTAGGCGGTACATCTTGGCCTGTGGTAAGTATCTGGAAGGACTGGGCTTATACTGCATTCCTGCTTTTTGATGTGGACATCACCAGTCCTCTCCTGCCCAGTAAATGCTATTGCTGTGGAAGGAGTGGTCATCAGACCTCCTTACTGGGGGAAGAAGAATCTTTGCTGTACACTGAATGCTTGTGGAGATGATTTATTGCTCCTATTTCTTCCTTTCAGTAAGAAGAAAGGGAAATACTCGTTATTCCCATTGCTCTCGGAAAGGTGCTTCAGGAGATAAGGCTTGTGTTATAATGTTAGCACTCTCCTGAAGTGCACAGTAGAGGTACTCCATGAAACAGCAGGTCAACAGTCTTGTAGGTTGTTCTCCTGTAGGAGGAGGCCAGCAAGTGGTGTTGTTTCTTCTCCTCCTTTTCCATGCTTGATGACAGTGATTTTTGTAGTAAAAGGTAGATGTATGGTGCTGCAGGCTGAGCCCAAGTCCATCCAGATACTTGCTAAACACAGAGCTTTCTTTTCTTTTTTTTCAATCCAGACATTATCTTGTTTCTCAACTGTGGATATGTTTTAAAGGTCTTAGCTAAATTCTCCAGAAGGTATAATTTATCTTTCTTGGACCTGTGGCTATTCACGTTTGTGAAAATTTGCGTGGATTGGTGATGGGGTTTTTCCTGACTTCCTGTAAAGTGGAAAGAAGTGGAATTGAGCTTTCTCAGATGATGATACAAACTAATATTTGTCCATCTCTTTAAAACTTAATTTGCTTTCCCTGTTGGTCAGAGTAAAATGGTACTAAACTATTTTAATAGAAGCTTATTTTTCTTGTAAATGTTCGCGTTTGGTACACAATGCTATAAATGTTCATATTTAAACGCTCATAAAGTAATTTGCTCTATCAGGTAATTACTGGCTTCAATCTGACTGTTCATCTTATTAGAATCACAAGTCTATAAACCTATGCAGGTAAAAGGGTAGGTATGAAAGCATCAGTGATACCATGTGGCTTGTTTCCCTTTGAGGTTCTTCCATATTACTTCTATTACTGCATTTTGTTCTCCTTCCCTGGAGTGACTTTGCTACTGTATGTAAAGGTACATATACTCTGTGGATAAGCTAAGCACGTACTTTGGTGTCTTTGTTGTCTGTTGCAGAAAGTCTTTATGCTTAAATAGGACTGCTAGCTTTAAAATTTTGGATCATGTAGTGTTCATTTTAATGATAGTTATCAAAGTGCAGTGCTTACCAATCTTAGAAAAACAAAACCAGCAAGCTGGAAGATAATAGTACAAAGAGTTGAAACTTAATGATTTACAGGTTGAACTTAGACTGTTCCCTCCAAATGACATTGGAACTTGCTTGCTCGAGGATTAAAAAAATAATATAAAGGCATTTTCAAGTAACAGTTTTAGGCTAATAGCTATTCTTATTTGGTCATAATTTGTTAGGAAAGGGACATCATTGTCTATTTTACGGTGAAGTTACTTTGTACTGTGCCCAAACGGCATAGTTCATTTAACCATAGTGTGCTCATCTTGATTGCAGCACATCTTCATTGCCGCCTCTTGACTGGCCGTTACCAAGTCATTATGGGCAGTGTGAACTGAAAATAGAAGTCCAGCCTAAAACTCATCACAGAGCTCACTATGAAACAGAAGGAAGCAGAGGAGCAGTAAAAGCATCTACTGGAGGACACCCTGTAGTGAAGGTAGGAAGTCTGGCTTTCTTGAATAGAAGATAATTTTTTAACCACATTTATTGGTAGTTACAATGCTGTGTATTGTTACCTTGTGTGAAGCTTACGGTTTTTCCTAGGTAAGATTTTCTCCCTTAAATATAACTTGTTCAATACATAAGTTTTAGATATTTAAAATTTTACAGTCTGCTATGGTTACAGTGCGTGTCACAATTTTACCCTGTATGCAGCTTTATGTTTGTGAATGGATTCACAGTGCAATACTGTATTGCTTAATGTATTCAACATGACTTTAAGGAGGAAGAAGTGTGCATGGGGGCAGGTAGGAAAAGTAATGAAAATAGAGTAGTTGCAGCTATACTAGAATATGATATAGCTTCATTTGAATCGGAAATCTTATTTCTTTTGGTGTTGAGACAGCTTCTGAACACTAGAAATGCTTCTTGGTCATGTTTCAATTAGGTTATTTCTGTGAAATGGTACCCATAAATTCTGTTAACTTTCACAGAAAGTTAACACTTCATGTTTGGAGTAGACTAAACTTGACTCTTCTTTTCCTCAGCATGAACCGCAAGTTATTAGTAACAGTTTAATGGTAGCTATCTCGTTAAAAAGTAAGGCATCACCATCATTAGATTTGGACTTGTTATCTGTAAGGGCAAGTAAGGCTTGTTTTGTGCTTTCTTGTTTGACATCATTTCAATTGTCGTAGCAGAATCATGCAAGCTTTGTCTCTTAGAACAGTTTTGATCAGCTTGAAGAAAATGCAGTAGTGTAGGTAGCAGTCCTTATCTGGCTAGCAGAGGGTGGCGATGTCCTGACTGTTTTGGTAACTGGTACTAACAGTTGCTTTGGCTGGGTTCTTTAGCTAATGCTAAATATTCCAAATGCTAATGGCGTTTAAAGCGTATTATTTAAATACTTGGCAAACACCATCCAATTATTGTTGAGCTCAGAATTAGTTGTAAGCCTTGGTAAACTAGGCTTGGCTTTCCTAAGAAAGCTTTGCCATCATATTCTCTTTGAAGGCAAAGATGGGTTTGGTACTGTGGGTATAACTACACCAGCTGTGCTGCGCTCCTCTCTGACTCTCAGGGTACAGATGTGTACACAAATATCTAACTCTATGCCGGGAAGATTTCTGGGTTACTTGGGGGTTGTCACTGATGTCTCCTTTAGTATCTACGGTGCCAGTTGGCTCATGCAGCTTGCAAGGGAACCCACCCTCTCGTTCGCTGGGCATGGGGAAGATTGTGCCGAGGAGCTGTGGGACTTCTTAAGATGCCTTCATTTATCGGTTTGCCATATCATTGGCTGAAAGCAATGTCTCTTTACTTACCTCAATCTTGCTTAATGGTCTTTATCTTAATCCCAAGCCAGGTTAAGATAAAGTTTAACTGTTCATTTATAAGTCAAATCAGACAACAATTATAAAATCTTTATAAGACAAATAGGAAAAAAAATATTTAATCTGATTACATTGAGGTTACGGCAGGGTTTGTATTTTTCTCCAAATCCAGGATCCTTCCTGTTCTTTTCCAGCAAAATAGCAGTCAGGGTTTCAGTCCTTAGTCTTTCACTATATCAGTCTATACACTAAAAATGTATTTGATATATTTATCCTATCCCAATAGTTGGAAGTAACTCATTACAACTTGAGACCAGAAGAAAAGTGCTAATAGGATTGGCATAATCAGTCGCTGTTTTCTTTCTCCTGTAGCATAAGCATGTTATTGCTTTTCCCCCTTATAGTTTATTCCTCCTCTCTGGCAAGCAAATTCTGTCATGCTTTGTAATTACATCAGTTTTGGAACAGCTTTAATGTTATACCTATATAAAGATGTACCAGGAGAATTTAAATGTCTTGGACTATCTCCTCCTTTTTCCCTGCCTAAGCAATCTTCTTCCAAGCTCTTCACCTGATGAATTTCTTCTCTCAGCCTGACCCTGTCATATTCTTTGGACTATTTACCAAACTGTTTCTTCTTGTGATAGCTTACCCTGAACTTTTTCATTCCTTCTTTCTTCCTCTTAAGACTTTGTATCTTTTCTTTCTCTCCCCCCAAAAAAGAGTTGGTTGTCTGCATCCCATCTTCCTTCTTGAATGTCTTTCCTTGTCCTTCTGTCTCCGTTTTTAATCTGAGCTCTTCATCCAACTTCCATGTTCCCTACAAATTTGCTCAGTGTTTTCCTTCTCATCACACTGCCGTGGCCTAACCAGCTCCAACTTTCTCCTGTTGTCAGACCTACCAGATTTCTTAGCACAGTAGAGGCCAGGGTCAAGTGCTTATCGGGGAAGCCTATGCTGCAAACTAGAGAAAATTGAGGACGCCCAGAATCTGAAAGTTGGCCGGGCACACTTCACGTGGAGCTTTGTGTTGTTTTAGTCGGTGGAGAACAAGTAGACACAACTTTCACATGCCAAGGTGCTGGCACTGGAATTAAACACATCATTAATGACAATGGAAACTTGAGAGATTTTAGCTGACAAAATAAGTTTCTGCTGAGCGTTTGGGAACTGCATTCAACTTTTTTTTTTTTTTTTTTTTTTTTGCCCCTGGGTGTTTGTGTCTTGCACTAATATTTGCATTAAGGGAACTTGTTTTGCTGATGTTTATAAGATCTGACAAATACGTAGGCTTTCTTTTGCTTACAGACCTAGATGCTTCTAAGATGCAGTACTACATGCAAGTTAGAAAAAACAGATCTGTGATCTGTAATCTGTCTTACACCAATGATTTCAAAAGCCATTTATTTGCATTGTATTGTGAAATACCTTGTGATGACAAGAATGCTGTTTTAAAAATGGCGATAGTATTTGTCTGTCTGACAGTCTCATGCTTAAACACATGGATTGTACTATGTCTCTTTAAATTAAAATGAATACAAATGCAAATCAATATTCTATTTTGCAATTTGGTTTCCTCCAGCTGGATTAGAAATTAGTTGTGCTTGATGGGAGAGAGGAAGTTGTTATGAAACAAAATATCAATTTGTATTAACTTTTTACTCACTGCTGGGAAAATCGGTATACTAAGGGCCAAGTTTGGTGAAAGATTAATACGAAATAGCTGTAAGCAGATGAAAACTACTTTATTTAAACACAAAAGTGAAAACTTTTCCAGCTCTTACGGAAGCTTATTACACAAATCCAGTTCACAATATGCATTGCTGCTTGTTTCTGACTTAACTTTTCTTTTTGGTGCTCTTAGCTTTACCAGTCACTTCTATGTGTATGATCACTGCAATAAAGTACTCCACATTTTCTTCTGTGAAATAACTGTATGTTAACGAGTGTCGGAGATGAGACGGGACGTGGGTGAATAGAATAATATAGAATAGAATATTTCAGTTGGAAGGGACCTACAATGATCACTAAGTCCAACTGCCACATCTCTGGGTACCTGAAGGCCTGTTTGCTTTTGCATGCTACACAATTTCTTTTGCTCTTGAACATTATTTAATAGAAAACTAGACTAATTTCTGATCTGTGACACCTCTCTAATTCCGCATGTGCATTTGATGTATAACTTAAAGATTTTAAGATAGTACATAGCTTCAAGCCATTAATCTATTGGTGCATGTCATTAATCTATTACTAATACTGTACCATACCTGTTGCTAGGAGACTGAGCTTCTGACAAATTTGGCATCATCTGTTGTGAGTACGTTTAATCAGCTTATTTCCAAATGTGAGGAAATGAATTGAGTGGAACATCATGCTTTGCTTTGTAAATCCATTGACTTTAAGGAAGCAAATTCTGTAATGAAATTATCTTGTTTTCAGCTTTTTTGAAGGAAAATGTTCTAAATAGCAGATACCTGCCATTTTAATCTTTGCTTTCTTGGGAGTATGTTCCAGCTAATGCGTGTCATCTGAGATAATTTATTTTACCCTGGTAGAGAATCTGCAAGATAACGCTCTCTGTTTTCACGGGGAAGGAATAAGTAACTTGGCCGAATGGTTAGCAAGGGGAAAGATAGCAGGTTGAACTTTTGTCATTGAAAATACGTAGAAATAATACATATGATACAATACTCTGAGCACTGGCTACCTTTACCTTTCTAACTGAATAGGTGAGAGTACTTACCATACCCATCTACCAAGTCTTTTAAGCAAATAGCTGCCACATTTCATCTGACTTTTAAATGAATGATCTTAATTGTTTGAATTTCCCCACCCTTTCCACAGGTCAAATTGTACATAATAAAGCATGCTTACACTTACAATTTGCTAGAATGAGATTTTACTGTTATCTAAAATGGTTAGAGTTCTTCATGAGACTTCACTTGGCTAATGCTTATGATCAAAAACACGTAAGTGTGTTAGAGCAGGTGGGCACACGATAAGGATCTCAGGGATAAGTTGGGTTTTGTCACTCTTGTATTTTAGCTTTCTGATGTAAAATTACTTTTTTCTTTGTAAAACCAACTTGTTTTGTACGCTGTGTTCCTGCTATTCATGTTGACTTCTGCAATTTTCTGAGTCTGCTGAAGTATTTTAAATTTAATGATATCTTTTGGTAGTAAATTCCATAAGCTGTGTTGTGTGTGACAAGAAGTATTTCCTTGTTATCTTTTGTCCTGTTACTGTTGAAGAACATGATCTACATGATATTCTTCTTGATAACCATACAATGTGGTGTACTAAGGGACTGTTGAGCTAATAGCTACCTGTGAGCACCATTCTGTACGCAGGAAGGAGTACCTCTCCTATGGCTATTTACCACAGTCAGAATTGGTTCTAGACGTGAACTACGATAAGGGTAATTTTTACTAAAATTGATGATCTAAAATTGATGGACTTGCAGAACCACTTGTGCCCCATGCACACAAGACAAATTTGGGGCAGTGGTAGCTATTAAGAATTTGCCTGTACCAGAAGTGTCTTTTTGCCGTACTACAAAGGGTTTAAGGATAGAATCATTCATCAATTCCTCTGCCATAAGCGAAATTCTTACTGTATTGATTCTGCAGTAACAGAGGAGGGGAAGTATCGTGTAATCCATGTG